ACTTGGATCTGCTTACGACCGCCCTTTCTCACTGCCTCTGTTTCTTCCTGAACTTAGGGAGAGTTCCAGGCTGTTGATATAGGCCATGTCAGTTACATCTAGGTGCTGACAAATGTTAGGGCCCTGAACTTAGGGAGAGTTCCAGACTGTTGATATAGGCCATGTCAGTTACATCTAGGTGCTGACAAATGTTAGGGAATCTAAAGAAGAGAGTGAAAGGGGGATTCCTAGAAAATACCTGTTTAGAAGGAAGGGATGAGAACCAAACCTCATAGAAGGAAAGTCAGAAGGGTGGGAAGGCAGCCAGGACTCGGTGGCTAGGAAACCAAAGGCCACAGAATGTTCCAAGAGAAAAGGGCTCTTCAGCACAGCCGAGGGTTGCTGGGGGGGCTGGGACTAGAAGGGCAGAGCAGAGGCCTTTGAGTTGGAGGACAAGCTTGTCGTAGAGATCTTTGTAAAAAATTCCAATAGAGCAGATGCAGCAGGTGTCAAGGATAAGAAGTGATTGTAAGAATTGTAAACATTCATGACGGTTTTTTTTTTTTTTTTGTCTTTTTGAGACAGGGTCTCCCTGTAGCCCCAGCAGTCCTGGAATTCCCTATGTAGACCAGGCTGGCCTCAAACTCACAAAGATCCGACTGCCTCTGCCTCCCAAGTGCTGGGATTGAAGGTGTGTGCCACCACGCCTGGCTACATTCGTGACATTTTAAGGAAAGAGAAGTGAGGACAGCACCTAAAAAGGGTAGCTGGGTGAGAACTAGTGAGCAGTGAAGTGGGTCAGGGCACCTTTGCAGAAGCAAAAGTGGACGGAGCCAGAAAGAACAAGTTGAGGACAGCCTCAATTCAGGCAGGAGGCTGAGGACATGATTGTGGGCCTGTGACCTCCCAGGATTCACCTGTTGCAACTTAAACCCCAAGGCAATGGTACTACGAGGTAAGGCCTTTGAGACCGGGGCTAGCCAAATGGCAATAGTGCCCTTACATGAGTCCAAAGAGAGCCAACTAGTCCCTTCCACCTTGTGAGGACACAATTAGAAGGTACCATCTACAGGAATCAGGTCCTTACCAGACAGCAAATCTACTAATACCTTAATCTTGAGCTTTCTAGTCTCCAGATCTGTGTTTCTAAGGTACTCCAGTTAGATTTTTTTACTGAAGTCAGAATAGACTAAGAAACACCTATTCAGAAATGAAAGAAGAAAGTGTTGAGGTTTCACATGCTATTTATTTATCTATTTTTGCAGCTCTGGGGGTTAAATACAGGGCCTCGTGCATGTGAGGCAAGCACTCTACCACCAAGCCACACCTCCAGCCTGGTGTTTCTGATATGGAAAGGAATGATTTCCAGGGGTCAGTCCATGGTTCCTCACAGGGATCATACAGTGGAGCATTACTGGCATAAACCTTCTGTGGGCTGTCAGGGGCTGTCTCTTCCTCCCACAGACCATGATGCCTCAGAGGAGTGACGGCTGCTTTCTTTTTCAGTAGACAGATGTTTAGGCCCTTTGTACAGTAGCTCACAGTCTTGTTGTCTGATGAATATGCAACTTAGCATTCACACATTAGCATGGGAGTCTTGCTTTTGAAACAATTCTTTGATGGCATTGACATTCTTAAAAAAACATAGTACTAGGGAGGCAGAGGCAGGAGGATCTCAAGTTGGAGGCCTGCCTCTGCTATGTAGCAAGACCTTGTTTCTAAAAACCAAAACATAAAAACCCACTGGGATGATTAAAATCACCCTTTCAATATTAATTGAATGGAAACTATTCAGTTGAATCATATAAAATAACCCATATTCAACCATTCTGACACACCAAATCAAGAATTTCAAGTAATTCCACCTTATACAAACCTATCTAGGGAACAGCTAACATAGCAAGAAACTGTTCTTCCTTCATACATTAGAAAACCCTGTATGCTTGGAGGCTGGCTTAGAGTCCACTCAGGATTAAGTGGAAACTTTTCCTTGTTTTTTTCATGAACACAATTTCAGTGACACAAAACAGCCCCTCTGTAAGGGTCCCCGTGTTAGTGGCTCCTTTATTTCTGGGGTAGCTGGTCAGGGTGAAAGGTGGTAATCAATCAAGTAGGCAAATCTAACCAAGTCTGTAAACTGGGTCACTCATTGCATTAGCTTCAAGTGTCACATTTTAATTTGTTATTCAGCCTTCTGGTTTATTAGAAAAATAAAATAAAACAGGGTGAGTAAGATGACTCAGCACATAAAGACAGTTTTTCAGCAAGCCCAAAGACCTGTGTTTTGATCACTGGAACCCACTTAAGGGTGGAAGGAGAGAGCTGACTTCATGAAGCTATCCTCTGACTTCCACATGCATGCTGTGGCACACGTGCACACACACATCACACACACAAATAATAATGATAAATCGAGGGTTGAGTGTATCTCAGTGATAGGGCACATGTGTTGGGCCCTGGGGATTTGATCCCCAGCATCACAAAGCAAAGCAAAACAAAACAACAAGAAAGTTGTGGCAAAGAATATACTTACAATCATTGAAATTGATCAACTTATCATCAGTGAACCCTGCATTTTATCTCTGTAATTACAATGAGGGAGAGCAGGTTTTCAAGTTACTTCCTGATTTATATATTTCTCACATAAACTGTGATTCTATATAAAATTAGAGCTCGAGATGAGTCAGAATCTAGAAGGAATAAACCAGGTTAGGTAACTTCTTAAGTAGGTTAAGGAAAAGTTCCCAACTTCTCCTTTTTGGATTTGGTTGTTACTGTTCTTCACCCAATCTTTCAGCCTATCAAAAACAAACAGACAAATACACAAAAACTAAAAACAAAGAATAACAAAAAAAACCAGAAAAAGGATATGCATTTTTCTGTATCATTGTACAATGTAAACGCATTTCACACTCTTACAAGGCAAATAAATACACACAAAGCATATATAACCGAGAATCAAGGTCAGACAACCAAACAGAATCAAAGGAAATATCAGCCATGAAGGACCCTACCAGGGCACCTGCCCATCACTGCCTGCCATGCCAGTATGGTGGCAAGTATCAACCCCCCCAACCCCAGCAAATGGTCCTGGTGCACATCCCTTTGACATGAACCTGATTCAACACCACTAGTGTTTACCAACCAACCCTTTGTGCTGGGTGCTGTCCCTTCCTTCCTTCCTTCCTTCCTTCCTTCCTTCCTTCCTTCCTTCCTTCCTTCCTTCCTTTTTGCTAGGTACGGTTCTTTGATCCCTCCCTCCTTCCTCCCTTCTTCCTCTCTTTCTCTCTTTCTTTCAGTTGCAGCCTTGGCAATACTGATGACAGCTTGCTTCATTTCGCCTGTCCCAGCTGCCTGGGTCTCTGTACTAACTCCACCTAGTCTCTTGAAAGCAAAAGTTCTTAACTTAAACCCACAGATAGAATTAAACGGTTCTTAAATCAAGGTGACAAAACCCTTGACATCTTTATTTTCATTAATCCCTAATGGAAATTTAGCATTTCCTTCAGTGATGATCATATACAAGAAATCACAGCTGTTTTCATATCATATGACAATTTTTGTGGTCATATTAAAATATTCTTCAGACCTATCTCTTCTCTGAAGTTGGTGGTTAACAGATATGCCTCTAGATCTTGTATAACACACATGTAAGAAAGGAAATAAATCACTACACTACAATTTATTAAACATTTTTTGACAGGCTTCACTTACGCAGCCCAGGCTCGCCTCCTTCTTACAGTCCTCCTGCTTTAGGCTCCCAAATGCTGTTATTACAGACAGATGCCACCACACCCAGCTACTAAAATATTTTGATAACTCTATTTCAATATGGCCAGTTTACTTTCTGATCCTATGCATTTTGTTTTATGCATTTATAAATTATTCTGAGATGAGTTCTGTAAGCACCAACAGGATGCTGAAGGAAACTACAGCACACAGTGAGTGTCCTTGGTATCTGCTCTTTCTGGTCTGGAACTATTTCATTTCCTGTTCAGTTCATCTCATTCTTCCCTCTGCCTCCAAATGCATCCTTCCTCTACCCTGCTCAAACATGTATAAATGTCCCCAGGTCAGATAAAGGCTTCCATATGGCCTTTGAGTAAACCTTCCTGCCCCTTCTCAGTTTTTCACCTTAGCTCTCAGATAAAGTCTAGAACCTTCTCTTAGCTTGGCTCAAATAACTAAACACTCTTCATCCTCCTTTCTTCTCCCCAGGTGCATCTCCAAGGCACATGCAACGAGTCAAACCCTAATATCTTCTCTGTGTACCAGTGAAACATCTTCCTGCTCCTTGGGATCGTCAGCCCAGCAAGGTGAGGTAAAGCCAGGGCCACACAAAACACACAGATCTGGCCACACAGACAAATGTAAAACACAATGGCTTCAGGTACCCAGGCATTCTCTCTAGGGAAGCCCAGAACTGTCATCAATAAGTCAAAAAAGTATTGCCAATGCTAGAATTATGTAGCCTAGTTGTTCCTGTGAAGACCAAATTGTCCTGTTTCCACACCCGACAGCCTCAAGATGACCAGCCCCTGTGACAGAAGAATCATCAAAGTGATAAAACTTACTCAGAGAGAGAAAGAAAGATGCCACACACAGGATGTGTGCCATCTGGCGGGGCACAGCCTTTTTGGGCGGCATCACTGAGGTTACTCAGCAGCTGAGTGACAGAGTTGTGCTGTCACAGTGAAGGTAAAGAGGAAGCTATGGTGTGGTTTTCAGCCCACTGAGAGACGGAGATGGCTTGCAGAAAGCAGAGGTGGCTACATTTGCAGTCACTCAAATTGAGGTGTGAAATAACTCGTTATGTTCGTGGTGAAGTCAACACACGTAGACAAAAATATGCTGGGACTTGTCCTGCCTAAATAGGAAGAAATCTCAGAAAAATGGAATAATAAAAGGCATCCAGAAATATCCTTTTCTTAGCCCTCACCTCTGCTCCTTTCTTGAGAGAGGAAGCGTGAGAGGGGCCACTGGGAAACCTGAACTTGGGGTCACATGAGGTGTGAGAATGATAGCCTGGGTTTTGGTACAGATTCTACTTTTAGTAGCTGTGTTAGAAAAGTGAAGCTTTTCTAACCCTCATCTCTAAAATGGGGTTATTCAGCACATACCCGATAAGAAGCTGTGAGAGCCGAGAAAGAGCATTTGTTTAAAAAAGCATTTAGAACAATATCTGGTTCATAGCAAGTACTCAACTGATATTAGCTGTCACCATCACAACTGTAAGCCCTCTAACTGAGTGAATCTTCTTCATCTGCCTGAAGTGGGCATCAGACCAAGGATAGCGGAGGCACACTTGTATCCAACCATCAGTACTGAGTCTAAGACAACTGAGTCTCATCTAGACCCAGAAGGAAGATCACTTTCCTGACAACATCAGCCTCAGTCTCTGAGCTCTCGTGAAGCCTAGATCTAAGTAGATTACTAACAAGCTAGTCTATTTCAGGGCATAGTTACAGGCAGATCCTTCCACCTACCCCATCCATGCAACTATTCATCCATTTATCCGTCCATCCATCCATTCATCCATCCATCCATCCATCCACCCATCCATTTACCAACCCACTTATCTATTCAACCATCCAGCAAGTCAGCCAACCAACCAGTTTTTGCTCTTCCCATGTTGTGTGTGTTGTGGTAGGGTTTGTTTGAATATACAAAGATCCTCATAACCTTTCCTTTATTCTCAGGAAGTGCTCTCTCAATCAGATGACCACCAATGCAATGAGGCAACAAGAGTGGGAGACCTAAAGGCAGAGAGGGAAGTTGGTGGGTGGGAAGGAACATCAGGATGGATGGGGCTGGGCCAAAGAGACAACTAGTGGGGAAGAGGCCTAGGGCACACTTAAGGAGAAACAGTCTAGCATGCAAAGAAGGGAGACACTGGCTGTCACTTCCTGTTGGACTTAATGATGCTTGGGTCTGGTGTGAAGGAAATGTGTCTCTAGGTTGGCAGGGACAGATTTTAGTTGGCTGTACATGTCAGGCCTCAGAGCTTGGCTTTCATCTTAAAGAACAAAGGAGCTATCAAGAGGGTTTTTAGCAGGAGTAAAGCCTGTCAGCTTTTCTTTGAAAATTCAATTCCATATTATATATTGTTAACTGTTTGGAAGGTGAGGGGAGACAAGGTTGTAAATAAAAGGCCAGTCACGAGATTTTTGCAGTTGCTTATATCACAAATGATGAAGGCCTGAATTAGGGTATTTAAAGTAAAGACAAGATGGAGAGATGAAGTAGCAAATACTTACTGAGCCCCTTGATATGACAAGCTACCAAATGCTGGAGAGCCACACACTGTTAAAGGATAACCTTTGATCCCTACCACAGACCACAGGGTCTGGTGGAGGTGAACAGGAGAGAACATGCCAGATTGCCACATCAGGGAAAGTAACTGAGGTCCTCTAAGAGATGGAGGACAGTTGCAGTGGGGAGAGGGAGCATTTTTAGTTTGGGGCAAGTGAGAGGTCAGCAAAACCTTCAGGGCAAAGGCATTTTAAAGTAAAATTTATTTTATCACTATTTTAAATACTTTTCAATTATTTTTATGTATATGAGTATTTTGTCTGAGTGTATGTAAGTGCACCATGTTTGTGCAATGCCTGCAGAGTGTATGGGATTCCCTAGAACTGGAGTTACAGATGGTTGTGAGCTGTCATGTGGGTGCTGGGAACTAACCTGGGTCTTGTGGAAGAACAGTAAGTGCTCTTAACTACTGAGCCATCTCTCCAGCACTAAAATTTATTTTCTTAGTTGGAATTATCACAGAGCAGGGGAACATCTACAAATGTGGGTATGAAGGCCTCGAATTTCATTTGTCTATCCATCATCTGTCCACTCGTCATTCACCTACACATCCACCCACTGAATCATCCTGCCCTCTGGTTTCATTCATTAACTGTGAGATCTAACAATTGACTCCCTAAAGTCAGTTAACCTGCAAGATATTTGGTGAAAGAATCTGCACTTCCCTCTTCAAAGACTCTGCAAGACTTAGAGGGTAAAAGAAGTGCGGGGAAGATGCACCCTTCAGAACCTGGAATCCAGTTCACTGAACAACTGAAGAAGCAGTAGGCACCGGAGACAGCAGGTAGAAGGAGCCGAGTTCATGGTAAGAAAAACTCTACAAGTGAGTGGATAGAGAGGCAGGGGTGATCCCCAAGATCATTCAGAAAATACTTGTTTTTAAGTAAATCCTTAGAGATCTGGTATGATTCCAATAGTAAGATTGAAAAGAAAAGGACATCCCAGTAAGGAGAAATGAAACCCCAAAGGCAGAGGTAGGGATGTGCAGGCTTGTGGAAAAGCACTAAAGGGCAGGCTACCTAGGATGCTGATTTCAAACTCACCCTCCAAGCTGTTAATTATAAAATCAACACAACTTGAAATATAGGAATTTGTTTACCATTTCAGTCAAAGAAGTCACAGGCCACCTTCAGCCATCAATATTTTAGACGAATGCATTGTATCAGCTAGTTACTACTGTGTAACAAATAGCTACAAGACTTGGTGGCTTCTAATGATAAACATTTATTTTTACTGACCAGCCTATGAGTCAGATGGCTTTGCTCATGTGTCTGTGGTCAGGTAATGGGAGTAATAATGGCACAGGATGGTCTTGGTTTGGATAACTCAATGCTCCACCATATATTTTATATGTTTTCATGTCAAGGATCCTTTAGACCGAGTAGAAAAATACGAGTACTCTTTGAGGCTTTTATCTTACATCATAACCAGTATCAACCTCAGGCCAAATCAGATTACAAGATGGACAGCAATTTCTTCCAAATTGAAACATTCCGTCCTGGAGGGAAGCTCCTTGAAACTCAGGAGATTCTGAATGGAGACTCAGGAAGTAGATAACTCACAAGTGTCAGGAAATTCCTAAAATTTACTAGATTCATTAGGTCTCTCCCTCCCCAAGGTTATGTAAGCTACAAGGACATAAAGTGAAGAGACTCTCCAACATGTCAAGCTATCTGCAAGTCATGCAGAGAACTCCCAGGTTCTAGCTTTTGTGAGTTGTGACTCATGTTGTGGTGGACTTTCATTGATGTAGCTGCCTTTGAGAGTCTCTCCTCCTGTAAGTAACCTCAATAAACTCATTGGTTCATCAAGTCAGGCCTTGGTGGTATCATAACTTTGGCCTGTTATCAGTTCCCTCCCTGGGGTGAGTAGAAGACTGCCTCTCCAGGAATAATGTCACAGAGCACAAGACCAAGTCTAAATCAAGAGATGGGTTGATAACTCTGCCTCTTTGGTAAGGGGAGCTGCAAAATTACCCAACAAAGGGGAAGATTAAAAAATTGGGCATCAGTGCATCTGCCATTTGCGTTGAAGTTAAGAATTATCTTAGAAATAAGTATTCAACACACTGCCAATAACAAGGAGGTCCTGTAGCCCCCAAACGTGTCCGACCCAGTAAATGAACTGCATCTTCAGATTCTTGGCTGTTACCAAAATATTTTTTCTCTTTCTATTTTAGTTGCCTCCATTTCTGCCAGAATTTAACATTGACAGGGCACTGTTGCCTCTTTTCTACAGGGAGAAAAGAAGCTTTCTGTTGTCAAGGAAAAGAAACAAAAAAGAAGAAAGGAAAAAAAAATAGAGCTGGCAAAGAGACAGCTATTCTACTGCCTTGGGAATCACTGTATGGTAGGCAGTTGTACCAGTTTAAAGGAATGTGAAAATGTAGTTTTCTCCCGGAGCAAAGAGAGAGGGCAGTACTAGACAGAGGAGCCTGGAACATACTGGGGAAAAAAATCTGTCCCAGTTCCTGCAAGACGGATTAAAAAAAGATTTTTTTTCTAGGTTCATATGCTTCATACAGATTCACAGAAACTGTAAGCATTCTGATCTCCTATCATAGCATCTAGGGACCAGAATCAAACAAGGACCTTTCTTTACCAAGTACAGGTAGTTTTATAGAATAACTCAGATGGCTATATGGCTGACATCACCAACCTGATTTTACAGCCAAGCAAATTGAGGCTCCAAGTCTTGGGCTGATCTATCCTAAACCACAGTTAGACTACAGTTAGACACAGTTAGACTACATTCTACTCACTTTAACACACCTAACTTGCTGCTCATGGAAGGCCAAGTGTAGGACAGTGAGTGGACTGAAGAGGAATGAAAGCCCTAATGGGTCAGCTGGAAGTGGATCATCATTGTGACCCTCTTCTCCCAAGCCTGGACCACCAACGTCAGGAAACCCTGTGGCTGAGCCTCATGTATAAATATTCAGAACACCAGTCACTCCACAAGAAGGGACCATAGTGACCTCAGTCAATCCTCTCCTGTCCCAGAGAAAGAAACTAAAGCTCCGAGTTGTAGCCATGCGATACGACATCACAGCTATTCCTGAACCAAAACAACCTGGCTTTTAGCATCCATTAAATCCAGGAGTGGGGCTTGATCTGTTCTGGGAACCTGCTCTTCCAGATTTCTCAAAACTCTTCTCTTGAACAAAGGTCTTGCTCTCTATTGAAACAGTACATCCAGCATCACATAGGAGAAAGAGGAAGCTGTCTTATCAAAGGATTTTCCTAAACTCCTGTTGACCCAGAACAGCACACACAATCACAGACAGATATTATCAACTTAATCCC